GGTCACGAATAGTGTCCAACGGGCACGCAATGAAAGGTTTGTATGTTTGTAAGCTATCACAGATGAATCCAGACAGAGGAGAGAAAAAAAAAGACGTTTATAACGAATGTATTGAGATTGCTAAGCTCTTTCTTCCACCAAACTGATTCATAGTTTATGCTCATCTTAATTCCGGATCCTGGACTGCCATCGGAAGGAAATCGGACGAGAGTCTTTTAATATACAACTGACGTATTCAAAGCTTTCGGTTCGAGGTCTATCTGAAGCACTGTCAACGTTGAACTTTTGAGGATAGTGCGTGTACGGACGGAACTCTGGTGTGCCGAAAATAATGCCGAGAATTGGGGAATTACATAGAGCCGTATTACTCATCTTCTTCCTTCTCCTTGTGCACCTACCGAAGACCACTGCAAGTGCAAACGAGTCATTGGAATATATTGCATGCTGTGCACTCATTAGATCTTCTCGATGATTCTTTCGGCTCGAGCCACTCGCCACTCGAATGGGCGTATTTAAGGTCAAGGCCAGGGGGAATGAATCATTCCTTTTTTTTTTTCTTTATATGACTTCAGAGCGAGCATCTAGTTCATCGTCTAGATCAACGCCTTCCCCCTATTCACTTCAGAGAGGTAAAGCTTGTAGTAATTGCAGGTAAAATCTACATTTATGACGATTTTGATTATTATTCTGAAACCTCTGACCACGACAGGAAACGGAAGATTGTAAGTGCGACCAGCTTTATTTTTTGTCAAACAATTTGTGCTCAACTAAGTCTTCGATAACTGAACTTTAGAAATGGTGAGCCTACCTATACATCGTAAAAGAGCTCGGTGAACGAAGAGACTCCTGCTTTAGCGATGGTTTACGGCCTACTTGCACGCAATGCATTAAAAGTGCAAGGCCAGGAGACGCTTGTGAATATGCCGATGGCGGTCGTACACGGACTCAAATGCTAGAAGATAATATTGCACGGTTAGAGGCACGAATACGCGAGCTTGAAGAACCTGACGACGAGAATGCCGTCAGGCTCCATTTACCATATACCAGCAGCAGACCTCCATCCGGTTTTGGGACTGCACCATTAACAGCTCTATCAATACATAGTAGCGCATTCTCTAGTCCGACGAGTAAGTCTTCATTCATTTATTGACCCCGGTCACCCGCTACGGTGGAACGATATCTGACGGTATTTGTTCAGGTTCCAACAGTCCGTCTGCGGAATCGTCGGTTGGCCACGTTTCAATAGGTTCAACGTATCAGGAGGCAAGTACTAATGGGTTTCATTCCGTTGCTGTATCTTAAATGAATTATTCTAGGAACCCTCGACCGAGGTCATACAACAGCTGTACGTATTTCTCAGCTCCCCCTCGCGGCTAGTCAGAATCACTTACACAAGTTTTTAGGCTACAGATATTTTTATCGCACGCCATGGATTTGGGTTTCTTTCTCAATGTCCCGCGTTTTCGAAATTCAGCATTGTTACAGCTACCCATGGGTCATTACTCGAGACCGAGCGCAGGGCTCTTGAGCACAGTGTATTTGTTAGGTGTGCACCTGTCGGGTGACCCTAACGGCCAGGAAAATGTCTACCTTTCCCGAGCTCTGGCTCACACGGCCAATATGCTCTCATCGTCCCATCCACATCGAATTCTTCATGCTATCCAAGCGGAAATTCTACTCTCAGTGTACTTTTTCCGCACTGGGCGCATATTGGAAGGCAAATATCATTTATCTGCGTCTGTTTCTCTCACACTCGGTGCCCAGCTCCATAGAATTCGAGCAATACCAACCAACACCTCCGAGACAGCTTCACCGTTGCAACAGTATTACAGGGGACCGCTGCTGGCACCTCCAGCCGACCAAATCGAGGAAGGGGAAAGAATTAATGCATTTTGGATGGCTTTCACGCTTAGTAACTGCTGGGGAGTTGCAGTTGGGACGCTTTCAAGCTCAGTATTCGAGAGCCACGGCTCGACAATTGATGCACCATGGCCACTGGATATGGTGGACTACGAACAGGTGATACGCAATGCCCCAACTGGTCAAACCTACGGCGCTAATGTTGGTTTGTGGATTGCGCAGGATTTGTTGCCCAGAGACTATCGAAGCGCTATGACAGTCCAGAATTTCCTGAGGCAGGTACCTTCTTCGGTCAAGGACTATGGAACTTTAGCTATGTTCGCAAAATCATCAATTCTGCTTGATAGGGCCGCAAGCCTTGCTGCTGTTTTTAATTCAGGTGTGTATTTTTCACACCATTTATGCAATGCACTGTTTTATTCACCATGATGTCAGAAATGGGAGCAGACGAAAACTCCCGCTTCGGCGCCAGCTTTGCGTCTCTTGACCATCTCATCGATACATTTCAATCTAGCCTTGGCCTAATACCATTAAACTATCAATCCTTATATTCATACGAGTCTGGCACGATCCTTACTACGCACACTCTCGCATACCTCGCCACTGTACAATTACATAGCGTCTTTATTGCAACCAGCTCTCATTCCCGAAGAAAAGCTCTGGCAGCAGCCCGTGCCTGCGTTACCATTCTCCGTCAAGTGGACATGAGCAGCGTATCGCATGTAAATCCTATTTTGGGCTCGTGCTGGACGAGCGTTTGCCAAGTGTTTATAGACGAGCTGAAGAGGATACGAAAGGGAAACAGGAGCAGCTTACCCGCCGCCGCGGAAAGCTGGGGAAGGACGGATGCATATAATGTTGAAGGTGATGCAGAGAACTTTTCGGAGGAGCAAATAGTGGGAATGTTGGAGAAAGTCTTTGCAACGATGGCGGTGTTCTCGATCGAGTCTCCAATAATTGGTGGGTTTTCGAAATAAAGGTGTTTTTTTTTTGGAGATGCTCACTACTTATCTTCAGGATATCAACTGGCAAAAGTACAAGAAGCATTTCAGGCCATCTGACTATCGATGAGGTTGGCTTCAACCAACTTTAATTTGCCGCGACTAGAAACCAAGGACCCGAATTGGTCTTGGTGAAGCCGGTGTTCTCTGCCCACACAACTTTAAATTCTCATATAATTCGAACCATATCATCAACCTATTTGTCGTGATTTCATTCTGAACGCGAAAACCTAGACTGAATGTTGCATTAGTGATGGAGATGATCTGGATCATGTAGATGTAAGTTTGACCGTTTTCTTTATCGTATCTCCTTTCCTCGCGTCGATACGTATACTGCTTTATCTTACCACTATTAATGTGTAGTACAAGGAACTGTATAACCATACTGTATTTCTGACATCTGTTACCATCGTGGATGTGTGTAGCATGTATGTACAAGGATTCTCTTCGCAGATAGTGTAGACACCAATTATAGAATCATTGAACTGTGCGCATATAATTACTAACGTCGTCCATTCTTGGAGAGGCCTCGACATCAATCTCAGTTCTCTGAACTTCTAATTAGTTGACTGTGGAGCACGTTCTCTTATTCATTTACCGGTAATCTCGTTCACAAGGATGTGAGAAACTCACGTCCTTAGCTAGCAGTACGATATCCTTAGCGCCGTCCTTCGACGGCAATCCCCGACTCTCGCGGGAGATCCATAAAATTAGAGGTTCGCTCGTTTACTATAGTTGATACAATGTTCGTAGCTACACAAGCCATCGAGTGTCCATCTGTACATGTTATCATTGGTCGTGGGGCAATCATATCGATCGGGAAAGGTTAATTTGGCAGTAGAGTCGTCATCAAGGGATCTCCAAGCTGCTGGACATGAATCTAGCGAATGATAATTTTTATTGTTGATGGTGGATATCTCTGTATCTAGGGGATTAATCCTCATAGAAGGAAGTAGATCCACACTACCGCAAGAGATGTATTGTCACTGGATAATTTGTTTATAATAGGGAAGGCGAATTGAGGTAGGTGTCATGAAGCAGCAAGTCGTGGTGCTAGAAAATCCTATGATGAAAGGCATTATGGATTCGGAACAAGATTCATAGATTTTTATGTGTTGTTTCTATGGATGGATTAGAGTGAGGATCATCTTGAGAAAAGTTTGGCCAACCGCTTTCCATTCTAAGTATCTGCCGCAGTAGTCTTCCACTAATTCCGGAGTTTAGGTCGAGATAAGTTGCCAATGAGAGGATAATCTGAATTGATACCACCTCTGTGAGTAATTCTTGGGAGAGATTATTATTAGAAGAACCATTATGAGAAGGAGCCAAGTATGGCAAGATTCTTTTTTCTTTATACAAAATTCCTGGTCCATGATGAACCTTTGCCAGATCATTCTCAGAAGCATTTTTAAAAACATCTTCTATACGAGATATAAATGAGTGGGCATTGAAAATATGAGATGTATGTTGCATTGGATCTGCATACTGATATGATGATACTACCAATGTTGTAACTGCTGAACCAAATTCATTTCCAAACTCCAAAGACACAGATCGATAATCACTAGGTACTGTACATTCCACATGAACAGATTTAGCAAACAAACGTTCACTAAATTCAACCACACAATGATGCAGAGCTTCAACAGCTTCTGATTTATTCATCCGACTATTTTGTCTTTGAAGACTTGATATCGGAAGCTCAAACAATTTCTGTTCAAGAGAACCTACGAAATGCAGTGAAAGTCACGGAGGAGGAGATCCACACAAAGTATCGAAAATTTCACCAAGCGAATCCATTTTATTTGATCAAAATATTTTGTTTGTTTGATATAATATCACGTATACGTATAAAGTTACACCTTTGGATATGAACCGTTGGTAAAGGTCTAACGCTGCTCGCTGCTCGACGTGGAAGCAAAAGACAAGAAGCAAACTAAGATCCGAATGAATAATATAAAGTACCTGAATCACGAGCATGTACTAAACACGAGAATGTGGAGTGGGAATGAAATTTCCTTTAAGCGTAATTTTTTGAATTTTCAGTCCGATCGCAGCTTACAAGACCCTCCTCTCTTCGAGTCGGGACCATTACAATAGCGCTGTGAGGTGATATAAAAAATTATGTAACAAAATGAGGCCCGCCTAGCTCAATCGGATAGAGCGTCAGACTCTTAAGATAGGCGGATGATCTGAAGGCTGCGAGTTCGACCCTCGCGGTGGGCTATGGATTATTTTTCTGAGGTACTCCATTGTTATTACTTTTTTTCGTTAACTATTCGAGTCTGAACAGGATCAACAGTGCAAAGCCCGTCTTCGGAATGAGGTCTAGTATACCCTTAATGATCGATCGCTCCTTCCCTTGCAATCGGCACACCTTATTAATCATTCGGTTCTTGCGATTGCACTCATCCTTAGCAATCAGACCCAGAGTTGCAATGATATAGCACACCTCAAAGTTTTAATATAAGGGATTTTTGGGAAGTATCGAAACTTCAGTTGCAGTTCAATCTTTGAAGCCGGCTCGTACTTTGACTGCTTCAAAACTCCTAGGAGTTATATACTACAACCAAATTACACCTATTTAATACTAACTAATCTGTTCCGCAATTTTTCAGACTTGAGTAACTTGCTTCGAACAGGCCAAGAAAGCTGAAGTTGCAATTTTCCCATATGCTTCGGAATCACCGGACCGGATTGCAGCACCCGCCATTTTCTGACCTCAAATCGGCTTCACATTGTCTATATTTACCTGGAGCCATTCTAAAATGCCGAAACTTGATTGAATGGAAGCTTAGGATACATTTACAATATATAGAAAAAATGGAGCTCATCCGCTTCATAATGCAAAAGTTTTTCTATACCGACATTTCCAGTTGCAACTCCAGGACAATGATAGTAGATGTGTTTCAAATTCGTAATTATCTCTTAAGCTTCTTGTACTAATACTCCTGTGATATTGTAAAGATACAAAATGGATATGATATGCCGTGTAATGAACTTCTTTCTTCCTTTATTGCTTTCGTCCGTGTCAGACTTATTATCTGAGCTCCTACTCTCCAACTTTGGTCGTTGTACTAGGATAAGGCGTTCCAACGGTATGTGGCCCACTTTCCAGGGGTGCGGTGGTGGCAGGAACCTTGTCAGGTACAGTGTTGCCTGCGTAGTCCAAGAAATCAGTATGGCAAAGTCAACAATTGTGAAAGATCTCACCGCTGTTCGTCTGTCCACTCACACCGCTTACATAATTAGATACCCGGTCGATATGTGGCTGAGCAGCATCCATAACCGTATTCAGGTGTGGTTGGGCAGCACTCTGTGCTGCAGCGAGGTATTCCTTCCCGGAAGCCAGGGCTGAGGTTGCGGTGGACTGGATCTGGGCAAGTGTATCTTGAGCCGCAGAAGAGCCCGTTGTCGAAGTAGAACTGGAGGTGGAGTTTGGTAGATACGCTTGAGCACCAGCCAACGCATCCCCTGCCACTTTCTTTGCCTGCTCCAAGTACCCTTGCCCTTCCGCCTTTGCCATTTCGACGTCGGCTTTGCCTTGCGCAACTGCAGTGTTGGTTTTGGCCTGCATTTCTTCCGCGGCTGAGGGGGGTTCGCCGGTGAACTCCTTGCCTAAAGATTTAGCTGCCAAAGCAGCACTCTCCGCTGCAGCCTGCGCTTTCTCAGCGTTATGCTCTACTGCGCGAGCGGCAGCACTGGATGGAGCGTCTGCTTGTGCTTGTGCTGCTGTTGTTTCAGCTCTGGCGGCGCTGGATGGAGTTGATTATTCGTGAACTTGATAGTGGAAGCTGAAGGACTCACTCGGGACCTGTAGGTTCAGCGACGTTAAAGATCTTTCCAGTTGAGGTCATTGTGATAAAGTAGTGATTGAATGGAGCGTATACCCAACGTATATCTCCCATCTTTATACCTTTTCAATTTGAGGACACTGGAGCAGCGCTGTCCATCGCACTGACGTCAAATGATGTAATTGTCCATACTGGGAAACTTGGCTATGACGTCTTCTCGACTCACACAAAGTCAAAGCGACTGTTATGAGGTATTCATTGCAACTCGCTCTACTGTATTACTTCATTCCTATTGAAATCCTTTTGCAATCCACTCCCAAATAATCGGTGTCAGTGTGTTCTCGAGTGGCGCATCGAACAAGAAAAAGTCCATAATCGGATCATCATGCAGCCCTCCTTCTTGAATCTCCAAGGCCGCATCCCTGTGATGTGGCTTAATCTTCTTTTCAAAGAAAACAACATCCTGATCAAAGAAACGCTCTTCGGCCCCAGTGGAAACCAGTATTCGGTCAACGATGTTGTTCAGCCCTGAATACCAATCATCGGGAACGAGTATTGGCTCCGCATATGGAATGTGCGACTCGGGTAGCTGGGCCACGTATAGCTGGCCTGGCTTTTCTTCTCCGGAGGTTAAAGCGTAGTAATAATTCTTTCTATGGGAGTATTGCTCTGGCCTCGAAAGGCTCACCCATGGAGACATTGTGTAGGCTCATCGAAGGCGCTTTCCCGATGGTAGTTTCAATGGAGGAACTTGAGGAGATGGAATAGGGTGAAGTAAATGAGAGAGAAGCTGCCAGAGCAGGTTACCTCCAGCAGAGTCACCTACAAGCTGGAGGTTGGATGGATCACAGCCATTGGCAAAAAGGTACTCGATTGCGCGTGTAGCCTGATGTAGCTGAGCTGGGAAAGCGCCTTCAGGAAGAACACCTAGCAAACGGTATATACTTCAATCAGGCGGGCAGGTAACAAAGAGATCCTTACTATATGATAGAATCGCGATCCCAATTTCAAGTCCTTGCTTCTCCCACTCTAGCTGAGAGCATCTCCAGAATTTGAACATCATCTCTGTCGCAGGAAAAAAAACGCTCCACCTATCAAAGTGTGAATGACGTTCGATCCGCAGGACCTGGATACCTCGCTTACCTGGAAGGACAAGGACCACTTTATTCGTACGTTTTGGACCGATCCACAACAGATGGTCATGGCTATCACCTTTCTCCAAATTCGAGCGAAGTTTGTCGATGGTAAAATCAAGCTTATACCGTTTTGCCCATTGTTGATATATGTGGAGACCGGGGCCTAATGCCCATTGACTTTCTGAAATCGACAATCCACTGCTGAATACTGATCGGGCGACGGTGTCAGAAATACGCCTCTTCAGTGGTTTTTGTGCATAAGCATTAGCAGGACTTGGAGCGTAGGCAAATGAAGTCAATGCTTTCAATGTGAGGGTGAGAGCTGTAATTTCGAAATTTCGATGTAAGTATACATAAATAATCTACAAGTCTAGTCAGCCACAAAGAACTCACGCATGGAGATGAGTATGAGTGCGATGTGCAAGTAGTTTGACCAAGATATAGCACCATACTTGGCTCCACCGACGGAGTTCGCATTTGGAGGCATTGTAATCACGTCTGAGGTTATGAGATACATGGCTGAGTTGAAGCACCCTCTTTTTATACGCAAATGATACACCGCAGACATAGACCACCATTCATCGAATCTTTCGGCTCCGTCTAAGCCGGTAACGCGTATATTTCGCACCGTTTATGGTAACTCACTTCCAGATTTCCTTATTCGTTCGCTCTGCACAGCCACGTGTACCTAGCTGGATACATTTTGAAGCCGACTGGCTTTGAACGGAGTCAAAGGCTCCAAAGAAGCCAGATGCCCAGGTTCCAAATGCAGAGAATTTTATCAAAAGCATCCGTACCACGGGAGGTGTATTGTAGATATGCTACTGAATTTCTGCCACGACCTGTTTTGGATCAAAGCCAAATTGAGAACATTTCTTGAAGAAATAGTATTCTGAGGAAGGACAATCAGTGAGATGATGGCTCACAGAAAAAGGGGAGAAGGATGATGGGCTAACCGGTAGCAGCTGCTGCATAGCTTTCTGCATTGCGTGTCGTTGCGAGGGGAGGTTCTCTGAGTTCAGCAGGTGATGATTGCGGTCCATGTTCACCTCTTTTTGAGACATCCTTATCCGGGTCATCGCCAGCACGTTCACCCAAAGCCTTGTGAGCAATATGTACGTTGTAGGTATCCCAATGCTGCTTTAGTGTCCTAGCAACAGCAGGTGCCCAGCCATCATAAGTTTTTAGATTTTTTGGGTCGTTCTCATCTGGCCTTTTGATGATATCTTCAGTTCTGCAATATGCCACGCAAAAAAAATTCAGTTGACCTGAATGGCTGAATTCATTTTGAACGCACTGTCCATGCCCTAAAGCCGGCGAAGCAATAAATCTAATATGTGTCATCTCGTGCACGATCGTATGAGCTGCTGTCATGAAGTGCCCGAGTTTATGAGGCGGAGGCGTGCACCAACCTTGGACACTTCCGATAGACGACCCCAGCCAACCAGGCTGGGGTGGGGAAAAGGACTTCGAGGAAAGGTCGAATTTGGTTTCATCAAATCCATCATTCCCTCGAGCTTTATGTTTGGAACTGGCAGAAGTAGTCCCACTAGTTAGACCGCCGAAGAAGAGTGGGCAGGCTACCATTGTAGGAACATAATCCGCTTCGTCGTTTTGTCCCGGAAGAATTCCTGCAATACTTTTACGCATCAGTGGAGGTGTAAAGTGAGAAACAGACAGCAGACATACAGATTTGCACAAGATGGAACATTGTAAACAGTGGGACATGCAACTCTAAACTTTCTCTTTGCCCCACCGCCATGAAGTATAGACTTGAACATGTTTTGAACTTGGTCAACCTCACTGCGCAGAAAATAATGAGTATATCTAGGCCGATAATCAGTTCAAATCGCGTCGAAAATCTGCTAGGAATACAATTACGCAGGATCATGGATCCCCATATGCTGCGCTTCGTTTACTATATCATACGCGTCTGACAGGGCTCTCATAACTTTGATCTCTTTGGATCCCCCCGATCTGCGACAGCTTTCATGTATGGTGACCAATTGCGAGACTAGATCGTTTTCTGCAGACGTTGCAAGATTTTGCGGGACATTAGAAGGAGGTGCAGCGTGAACTGAAATAAGCAGGCAAAAGTGGAGAATAAAAAGCATCACGAAGATGGAAGATAACGGACCAAAGAGCTGAAAACGCAGCCTGCTGCAACTGGGCAGAGTTTGACTTTTTTTCATTTCTTTTTTCAGTTTCTGTTTTTATATATATGTGACGAACAATCCTGCAAGCGCGTGATCGTCACCAGCCTGTCTGTGACCATCAAGGCACAACGCGTTGGCGG